GAGAAATTTGAAAATGTTACATAAATTCAAACTTCATTATTACTTTTTGTTTTAAAAAGGAACACTTAATTGATTGAATGAAGAGAAAAAAATAAAAATAAAAATTAAGCATTCTTGACGATAGACGAATTTAGTTTTGTAAACTAGGTAAGGGGATATAATATATTTAAAAAAAAATTGTTAGCGAAATAAGTTAAAGAATATTCGGTTTGAACATAAAAAATAATTATGTTAAATAATACTTGCAAACCAGTCTTATTTGTTAGCAAAATTATTGGTTATGTATTAAGGCAATCCGTAAGAAATATGTCCCTAATTAGTATTGTTGAGAGCTAAACCAAAATTTGCAACAATTCTACCAAGGTTCATGGAACATGGAAGAACTTAGAATAGAGATTAACAACTTTTTTTGAATATAAATTTAAAAATATTAATGAGTTTTTTTAAATAAATTAAAAAGATATTTTTCAATAAAATAACTTTCGACTTCTAACTTCTTAAACTTGATAGACTCTAAGTTAAAATGTGCAACTTGGTTAACAAAGATAAAATTATATATATGCATAATAAATCCACAAAAGTTAAGTAGTGGTTAATGGCAAAGTTTACAACCCACTTTTCAACCGTAGGAAAAGTTAGCCTCCAAATGAAAGGCTATTCTAGTGATAAAGACGGAGTAAAAGGCATACCTTAAGCTAAGGAGAAATCCAAGTCGAAGAACAATAGTAATAAAAATAAAAATAATCTTATATTTTTTTTTTGGTTCGTCCCTGGAGTATCCACCGCCGATAGCAGTGACTAATCTCCTCGCTACGTTGGAGGCACCTCAAAGGATGGGATAGCTGGCCCCAAGATTTAACGCGGCTGCATACACAAGGCAGGATTCGAACCCCTGACCTTGCTTAAGCGTGGATCAACCCCTACCACTGAACCACACGCTTGGGGTTCAAAATAATCTTATATCTAACATTTCTACTAAAATTCATTCTTTTCGGTTTTTTAGATGTTAATTAATCAAAAGAGACATATTGCATTTCAATATCCCAAATAAATGACATAATTTTGAGATATGATGAATAATATGATAAAACACATTAAGATGATGAAAATATTGAAATTGGGGTTGACCTAATATGTTATTAGACTTAAAATAAATTTTAAAATGAATTTTTTTAATTAATAATAGTATTTTTAGTAAAAACATTTTAAAACTAAATTTAAAAAATAATTATATTTACATATGCTTTAGAGATAGATTTTTTAAAATGAATTTTTAAATTCATTAAAATGATAAAAGTGTTGACAATAGAACTGATCCAACATGTTATCTAGCCTAAAATGAATTTTAAAGTGATATTTTTTTAAAAAAATTAATAATAAATAAAATATTTGAAAAATAGATCTTAAAAAAAATATTATATTTGTATATATTTTAAAGATAGACGTTTTTAAAGTGTATTCTCAAGTACAAAAAGTAACTTTTAAATTATAAAATCTTGAAAAAAAATTATATAAATATTAATATAAAATAATTTTTTTAAAAGGAATCTAAAACAAAGATTTTGTTAGTCTCACCCTTAGGCCGACTAAGTTGATGACATGTCACCCTTAAAAGATTATTTTATCATAAAAGAAACACTGAAATCACTTAGTGAAGTACTAGCGATGGGAAAAGAAAAATGAGGCCATTCACACTAAATGTCACAAAATGAAGGAAAAAAAAACAAAAATTATAAATGGTGGAAGTTGCACAAATGTTAGAAGCACACTTTTGGTGAATAAGCTCAATTTACCCACTACTAGACATCCGAATCCATACATGGTAACACCCTAATCTATTTATTTATCGTTTTATTACTCAAAACTTTAGCTTTGTTATATCAATGGTGGCATTTTGAAGTATTTTTTTTATACAATTAAAAACAACTTTGAAAATACATCTTTCTTTCCAACCAAAGAATTAAATTTCATTGATAATAATTAAAAGATATTTATCAATTTATGTAAAGACAATTATTGAAAATGAAATACAATCAAATATCTACTTCTATATAAATATTGCAATTGCATACTGTGACTATGAAGAAATAGGCATTATAATATAATGATACCATGACATAGTTAAGTTAAAGAAGTATATCTTTTCATAACTCATATTTTACATCAAATTTTGAAAAGATCTACTTATTTCAATAGTAAGTTTACATAGACTTATTTTACTCAATAATTCATATTTTATATCAAATTTTAACGATCCAACCGTTGAATTAAAAAATTTTAATCTATAGATCAAGTCTTCAAATTTTCAAAAAAAAAAATTGAAAGCTATTTGATACTCTGTTTCATTAATTCAAATCAACGTATAAAATATTTTTATAGTCATTCGTCAATTTGAATCAACAAAACAGAATAAGAAATAATTTTCAATTTTTTTAAAATTTGCAAACTTAATATATGCATTAAGAATTTTTAATTTAACTATTAGATCGTCAAAATTTGATATAGAATATAAATTATTCAATAAAGTAAGTTTATATAGACTTACTCTTATAATAGATTAATCTTTTCTCATATATATATATATATAGTTAATCACCTATACACTGGCAGTGTAAAGTTTTTTACACTGACAACCAATCATATCTTTTAATAGTGACATATCAGTTGCTTATTTAATGAAATAATAATAAAATAAGTAACTTTAAAAGATATGATTGGTTGCCAATGTAAAAACTTTACATTGACAGTGTAAGGATGATTAACTCATATATATATATATATATATATATATATTCACATTTATTTGTTTCAAGAATATGTCTAAAGTATGAAATTCTCATTCTAAAATAACGATTCTTCTATAGGTTCACTCAAAGTTATCTAGATTAAGGTTTATATGTTTATTGATTTATTTGGTGCTAACAATCAATTTTCTTTTCGTTGGTGGCTTGGTGCAACACATTCTCAACCAATGTAGTCCTTTTCGTATTAAACAAGAGTGAGAGTTAACCAAACATTCATAGTCCCATGTAATCAAATTAATTGAGAGATCCACCCATAAAATATCTCATACAATGTATGGTAATGTTTTAAGAAAAATAAATGAAGTTTTGAAGGTTAGGAGAAAAGAGAAACAAAGGACAATGAGGTTTTAGAGTCAAAGAAAAAAGTAAGAGAGTCAAGTTGAAAGAAGGGAAAACATTAATTAAGATTGCGAAGGAGAGAAAAGGTAAAGAGAAAGAAGAGTGCAACACTAGGATTGTGAGGGGGAACAACATATGGAGAGAAAGATGAGTGTAATGCTAAGATAAAAAAAAAAGACTCAATTAAAATATCTTAATATATATGGGCATTACTAATAGGTCGAGTTAAGGTATCAATAAGTTAAATAATTTTGAACCTAACTCGACCAAATAGACTTACTTGAAATCATTTTTCCAACTTGAAACTTGTTTCATCTAATTTGATTTGACTAAAAACATTGATTTATGTTCAATTTTTTTTGGGTCACGAGTAAATGAGAAAAATATAATCATCCTTATGATACATGCTTGGATCAACCACCAATTCTATTACTTAATAGTCATCTAAGTCAGGGATCACTAAGTTAGATCATCAACTCTAGTACTAATTGTTTGGAATATGATGAGGTTAAACAAATGAAAGATCTCCACTAATAGGCCATGGACAAACCATACGAATGAATTTAACACTATATCCAACCCAAAACCTTAAGACATTCACACACTCATACAAGTTTATGGGTTTTTCTCACTTATATGTCACTAATTAACATAATCATATCTATCCTATATGAGACTTCTCATTCACACATGCACATCAACAATCTATTCTTTAAGTGTGAGTCTTCTTTCACAATATATATTTCTCCTCAAGTCAAAGTTTTTTCATCCACAAGTATTCAATGACATCCCTTAATGTTTAAACATCATTGTCAATACGTTCTAGATTTTTACACATTTTCTTGCATTGTTGTTAGGACCTGTAACTTCGTCACTAGTCATAAATGCCGATGCACTCTAAATACTTGCACCAGTAGTTAATTAGCTAGATTACTAAATCTTAGTCATTATTATCAATATGCTTTTAAATATATACTTACACTATCCAATTGTACTCTTTGAGTTACGATAAGGATTAAACATTGAAAAAAACTTCACTAATAAACCATTAGTAAATCATAAAAATAAACTTAACTTCATATCTTAACCTAAAACTTAAAGACATCATTTTTACAAGTAATATTATACTCAACATACTTATTTTTATATAATGTAAAGCTTCTCATTCAAATTCAAATTAACAATGATATTATATTATTTATCATAAAATATACTTTCATTTAAGTCTTGTGTTTCCTTTTTTTGTGCTCCTCCTATTTAACTATATTTAATAATAAGATCCACATGTTACATTAGTAAATCATTTTTTTATCTATAAAAAAACTAAAAAAAATTTACCACTCCCACACACCTTATTCACTTATGTGAGCTACATCCTCCTGATATATACATCAGTAAATCATATTAATCTATCCTTATATATTATCAACTCTCGATCAAAATAGGGTTCAACTTTAACTAAATAAAATAATCCTAACAAAATTTTAAACCATATAAGACTAAAAATAAATTCACCCCAAACCGTCTCATACTCACCTCTGATTTATACTAATTTATTTTACCGCACAAACCACTGTACATGTGTCTCGCCCCAAACAAAATTCTTGATATTTAAAAGAAAAAAGAAACACAGTATCCATAAGCTTGATTACAGGCAAGTCGGCAAGTGACAGCATAAGCTTGATCACACAACACATTACACAGCTGTTTGGTTTGAACTCTGCAATAAATGATAGTTGAGGAACACAAAAAGGAGAAACAAATCAAGGGACAGGCCACACAGTACAAAGTAAACAATAATGATTTAGCCAAAACCCCCCAAAAAAACAAAAACTGAACAATGCACCCTAGGCTTATCTCCTAAGCTACACTTGCCTTTTCCGAATTTTAAATATTTCTTTTTTATTTTTTCCTCTTCACAACCAAAGAAAGTCTTGTCAACAACCCCCAACACGGAGCCATTACCGGTTTCTTTCGACTCTCTTTTCTTTTTCTCCCTTTCTCTCTTTCTCTTCTTCTTCTCTCCCTCCGTACACCACATCATGTGATCGTTTCGCTGGTTTCTACCCTCTCCTCGCTGTCCATGCCCCAAATTCTGCAACTGCAACCATCTTTATACACTTTCTTCACTTTTCCTACCTCCTTGGACCCCAACACACGACACAACCAGTGCTACCTCATGGTACCTTGTGTGGTCCTCACTACCAATCCCTTTGTTATTTTAGGGTTCGGGAGCCCTTAGGGTTTTCTTGCTCCTCATAGTAAATTTGCTCTTGTTCAGCTTGGTTAATTAGCTGAGTGAGAGAGTTTTTCCTTTCCAATTCCAAAAATTAATGGAGGAATACACTAATAATAATAATCACCTGAGTGAAAACACAGGTCCAAGGCCAAGTCCAAGGCCAAATTTCTTGTACTCTTCATCAAGTGGTGGAAACCAAAACCAAAACCAAAGCCACCACCACCACCACCACCACCACCACCAGCAGTTTCCTATCAACACCTTTCATCTTCAATCGGGTGGATCAGATCATTGCTTTCATGAGTCTGATCAAGTGGCACCACACCCTTCTGTGAAAACCGAAGCCACCACTTCGAAGCTTCACGCCCCGATTTTCCACTACCCTTTAATGAGAGCAAATCTTCACAACAACACTATGCATCATCATCATCATCATCAAGGAGGAGCTAGCCCAACAAGCTCCACCACCGAAGTTGAAGTCATAAAAGCTAAAATCATTGCTCACCCTCAATACTCCAATCTTTTAGAAGCTTACATGGATTGCCAAAAGGTCAACAATTAATTAATTAATTAATCGTTTTATCATTACTCACCACATTAACTTGAGTAATAATGAGTATGCCCCAATTTTATTATCCCTTTTTATATATAAAATATATTTAACTCTTATCTTTTTCTCTCTCTTTTATAGATAGGAGCTCCACCAGAAGCAGTGGCGCGTATGGTTGCGGCGAAGCAAGAGTTTGAGGCACGGCAACGTTCTTCAGTTGGATCAAGGGAAACTTCTAAAGACCCTGAACTTGACCAGTTCATGGTAACTGGTTAATTTATATTATTTTAATAACTCTGGTTGCTGTCAATATTTTTTTTTTAACATGAATAAATGTGATTGATACAGCTGCAATTAAATAAAACCTTGAACCCTTTATTTTATTCCATTGCTATTTTTGGTGTATGCCTTGATTATTTGGGTTGATACCTAATTGGAATGGTGGTTAATTACAACTGCAGGAGGCTTACTATGACATGCTTGTGAAGTATAGAGAGGAATTAACGAGGCCTATTCAAGAGGCCATGGATTTCATGCGAAGGATAGAAACTCAGCTAAATATGCTTTGCAATGGACCCGTTCGGATCTTCTCTGGTACTTTATCTTTCTCTTTATACAACACAATTAAGAAGAGGAGGATCTATTCCCCTTAATTCCAATTCCTTTTTTCAAAATAATTAATAACCATGACATAATGATATTATTACCTCCAACTTTTGTTACCGGAAAATGTTAATTACTTGAACCAATTAATTTCACTGAAAACGGTTTAATTAACTATTAATTGATTCTGGATTATGCAAACATTCAGCTACGGGACTGAGTTCAGAAATTCTTGAAATTCGTAAACTCGAGTGTTTTCTGTACTCTGAGGCAGGAAACTTTGACCGAAAATTTTACCTACCTACAGATCGTAGAGGAGGAAAGGAAAGGGTCCCAGACAGTGGAGATGATATTTCATCTAGCACAGAACCCTAATCAGTAGCCTGTATTATAATATAATAATTTAAAAGATAATTAATAAACAACATCTTTTTGTTTTGTTTCTTTTCAGAGATTTGACAAGTTTCATTTTATTTTTATATATTTTATATATTCTATTACAGTATTGTCCAATCTTCACGATTCCAGATGAACTTTATGATAATTTTGTTTATTATTATTATTATTATTATTATTATTATTATTATTATTATTATTATTATTATTATTTTCTTCCTAAAACCCCAATTCACATTTCACACGTTCGCGTCTACTCCTTCGCTCCTATTTCCCAAGTTTCTGAGTTCTGACAAGTTGTTTCTTCTAGGGTTTCCTAGTTAATTCGTTTTACGGTCAGTTATAACTATTAGTAAAGCCTATTTTTGAGTCTGCATTTCGGAGATTCATTGGGTTTTGTATGATGACATTCTCACACTGTCACACACACACTCACTCATCATTGTAGTGCTCAGTTTTCGGCCTTCTTACAGCATATGTTGTTTTAATCACTTCTTTTTTCTCCTTTTGGATCTTTGAGTCCAATTAATAACTCAGAAACACATTGGATGCTGATCCAATCCCTCGTATTCCCCCAAAAAAATGTGCAATAATATGACACGTCTAATTTTCTATGTGTTTTTACTTCTATCCTCGAAGACCCGTAATTGATATATTTAAATAATTATACTTTATACAGAAATAAATGCTTAGGAATTTGCTTTATTAGTTTGTAATAATAATACCCTAATATATTAGTTACGATTGATGCTCGTATCTATACATCATTTTTTTTTTCTTCATATTTTGTCAAACGTGTGTAGTCTTTGTTCACGTTGACTAAGATGAGTAGCTAAAAAGTTAATTCCACTGTAGTTGATAAAATAAACGTTAATATTTAGTTGTTATGGCTTAAAAAATCATCATCAACGCATGCCTTTCTGATGTGAATCTCAGGCTGCTTGTTAATTTCATGGTGTGACCTAGTATCCGACATTGTCGATATGGTGAGGGTTTTGCAGTCAATCTTATGTTGCTTCTATTTAATTAACAACTGTGTGTGCCTCAAGTTAAATAGTAACGTTAATGCATTGCTCATGTGCTCTATGTGTTGTATTCGACGATTTAATCTTATATGATCAGAGGCAATTTATAGGCATGGTTAGTGTATGTTTGGTTTCATCTCCATGATCTATGTAGTAAAAGTCACATTAAAATTAATGTAAAAGTAACTAATTGTTTTTTCAACACTTGTCTAAAGAGTTTCCAAATATGTTCTTAATTTACTAAAAGGAAAATGTTGTATCCTCCGCTTTTAAACTTTAATATTCTGTCAGTTAATTTAATATAAAAATAATAATTTAAGTTAATATTTTTAACTTTTAACCTTTCAGACAGTAATTGGACACATCCAATTGAGAGGCTGTAGCATATCTCTTACCAAAATATTTTTCATGTCATGAGTATTTCAGTTAGGACGTCGCATATTTTCCAGCCAGATAACTATCAACCACTAGATCAAACAGAAATTATTGGACATGATCATTCATTAATTAAAAAATAATTTTAAATCTTCATATACACTATCTTCTTATTGAATATAAAACTATTGATAATTGTTTTTTGATACTTTCAAGATATTAAATGCATTTTCTTTTTATTCCAATAATTTCTGTTTGATCTAGTGGTTGATAGTTATCTGGCTGGAAAATATGCGACGTCCTAACTGAAATACTCATGACATGAAAAATATTTTGGTAAGAGATATGCTAGATGATCATGGTCTAGTTGTATTCTCTGTTCAACTATTTCCAAATAAATTGACCCCGATATATGTTAGAAAACCGATATTTTTGGAGTATGAAATATAACTTCAGGCCTCCGGAAAAATGTTGATATGATTTAAATTTATATATGAGAAAGGAAAAAGAAATGGATTAATTTATATTTATAAATTACATCAACAGTAATAGAATAGAAATGAGTCAAATGACTATCTCTTCCCCCGCATGCACAAAAGAATCACACCCATGAACCCTCTTTTAAATAGTTGAATTCCTTTTTCAATTCATTCAAAATCGTTTTAGCATTATGGTATCTTATGATTATGATACGATGAATCACTTTACTAGTTCCATGGTGACAAACTGAAAGACTTAATATCTATGCCTTTTTTCTTGGATAATGAAAAAAAAAGTTTTCAATTTAGTATAACATTTTAATAAAACCCCTGGAATTACATGTTTCATTATATCGTAACCGAGTTTTGAACTCTAAGTACTTTCTTATTGGAAAATTATGAACATACATGTTTTCTTTCATCTATCTTTTTTCATTACATTACCTTTACATTTATCACTTTTCCTTTCTAATTTTTTTCTTCCTATCTCTCTTCTTTTTCTACCACAATCCATAAAACAAATGGACATTTATCGTTACTCTATCTAATATCACTTCTCTGTATCATCACTCGATAACCGTGCATTAATTATATATATGAAATTGTGTTTTTCTTCATGCGTTTTACTTGGTATCGTTCCAGCAATATGCCTATCCAAAGTTTGAGGAGCTTTAGGATTATAGTATGTGAAGGGTATGATATGATGAAGCACTTGGTAATGAATTACTATAGTTTCATCGTGAAATACTTATTATTTATGCCTGTCCTCTTGGGTGATGGAAAAAGGCCTTAATTTAGATTAATATTGGATAAAACAATCAAGAAATAATATTATATATTGCTTAATTATTATATCACAATCGTGTTGCGAACTCTCTGCATCTTTTCCACAATACTTGTCAGTATCATCGCTCGATTACTGTGATCATAATTATCAAATTATGTTTTTAAAATTTAAATCGTAGTTTAAATGCTTTTTTTGTCTTTATTATTTCATATAATGTACTTTTTAGTCTATAATTAAAAAAAATTCATTTCAGTCTTTATATATACTATTTTTTTAAACTTCAAGTCTTTGTAGTTGTATAAATTTTTTCTTCTAGTCTCTATAGTTGAACAAATTTTCTTTTCGGTCTTTATAGCTGCATAAATTTTTTCTTAGTCCCTATAAAAATAGACCTAAGGGATTAAAGTAAACAAAGATGATACATATTGAAACTAAAATGGAATGGTATTAACTATATGAACAAAAAGGTTAATTAAACCTTAAAATGGACATTCTAGGTTTGTGAGGATCTCAATGACTTATACATTGTTGCATGCCATTAATTGTTGAGCAGATGATAAATGTGAAGGTGCTGGATCATCGGAAGAGGATCA